AAGCGCGAAGAGGCAAATGGCTGCGGTCCTTGCAGGCCACTCCACTTCATCCCGGGGAAATTGTGGCCAGGACCCATCATCACGTGTTGTGCGAAAGTCCTGCTCGCACAGCTCCCAATTCTTTCCCCTTGATGTCCCTCCCCCTTTCACAGACTACATACCTAGTCCCTTACCCACCCCTCTGAAATACTGCTGTGCAAAGGAGATAGGCCCCTCCCATCGAGTATTAGAAAATGAAATTTTGCCTCGCCTCTGACTATAGGGGCGGTCCGGGGGGGGGGTACATAATGCGCCTGCAACAGGAAGGGATCAGCAGTTCCAAAGTTTAAGGAAAATCAAATTCGACCACCAGCGGCCAAATACGGTTCCCGTTGCATTATTAACAGGATGGAGGTACACATCCATAGTAATCCTCAGTCTAATCCTTAGCAAGGTAGACAAGCAGAGTGGGCGCTAGATATCCTCCGCCCGTCCTCCCCATCACTTAACTACCCTATCCGCTCAAAACTCTTCTGCTTCTAGAAGGACTGTAGCCCTAATTGCTTCCAAACAAGTATTTTCAAAAGGTAGATCTGGTCAACTCACGAAGTCAAACGTGCTCCATTTGAATGGCGGAACTGTTCCCCACGTCGGCCGCCTTGAGCTCGGAATTCCAGTTCTTCATCATGCTGACGTTCGTTCCCTGAAACGAAGCACAAGTTGTGCTGATCTCTGTGAACTGTTCGCTATGGTAAGAATGATCGGACTCACCTTGTAATCGAGAGCACCGTGGTTCACATGTCCTTGACCAGGAAACTCGTAGGTACCGTTTGCAGGATTCAAATCACCACGAGCAGAAACGGCTGCCTCAGCTGAGTATGGGGGATTGCAGTTGCACCGTGAAAACTCGTCGTTCGTGTAATTGTTGTACCTGAAAACGTCACTCATCGGACTGGTTGTGTCCTGAATGGAGCCGCCATGCTTCAACAACACATCCCACGTTTGCGTAAAAGGAAGCCCTTTCGAGATCGTGTCTATTTCGCGGCATAGCGATTTTTCCCGGTTTTCCAGTTTTCATTTCCATTTTTCACCCGTCGAGCGGAAGGAGGTCACCAATCAACTACTAAGTTTAACTATCACAGTATTACAGTTGCTAGCTGTGCAGTACTTTTGCAAACGTCAACTGGGAGGGGAGTCATGATTTGGGTGTCTAGCGCTCATAAAACGGAAGATATCGGTAAATACTAGAAATATTTTCTCGCTGCCCTAAATATGTTTTTTGAAGCAAGAACGACACCCCCCCCCTCCCTCCTCCTCAGACGAAGTGATTGACCAGCTCACGTGGGTATCGGGTATTCTTAATAATGTATGCAGCGCGCGCAAAACGGGAGAAGTCAACAACTAAAAAAGTTCTCCCAGGTCAAATACGACCCCACTGATTAATTCGCCTCTGATTGAATTCTCCCGACTATGTTATACCCCACGCGCAATCTGGGCGAACAACCTGACCTTATTTCGCTTGCCTGATTCGCACATCAGACGTAGTACCGCCCTCTTGTGAACGCAGCTAGAACTAGCGTGGCTGCCCTTTTTCTTGCAAGTCTCCCTGCTTGCACGCACTTTTGCATCCAGTCTCTCTTTCGGACGCCTAGTGTTTTTTCGGCCTGAGTTACTTGTAAAGAGTTTGAAATTTGTGTTTAACGCACTTTTCGTAGAGCTTTTATAATTTTTACTTATCGTCACTCATCGCCCACAGCACACATCTGAATCCCATGTCTCACATCCTGCTTTCAAGGAAGTTGCTCATAAAGGCACAAAGTACCTCAGCACGCCAAACAACAGACACGAGCGCGAGGTGAAATCACTTGCGCACAGACGGGGCCATCGGAGCGAACTGGCACTAACCGCGCCTGCCTGACAACTCTCTGAAAGTGGTACAAGATGATCCATTACTGCCCACGCTAACTATCCTCTCGAGCCCAGGTTTCGAACCGCAGAATGTGAGTTTGAATGCATTGATTTTCGGTGGTCTGGATATGTGTAGGTGGTTGATTTTGAGGGAAAAGCAGGGCAAACTGTCTCAGATAACTGACTCATTGTCTCGAATGAGGCCTTTTTCTAGTCAATAGACAGAAATGACGGAGGTTTCGAGGGACCAGGCAAGAATAGCAAGAGCATGAAGATAGAAGTAGATGAGAGTAGCGTTCTAGTTCATTCTACCGAGGAGTTTCCGATAAAAAAAATCCCTAAGCAATCAACTTACCGCATCAGTTTAGTGAGGGAGTCGATGTCAGTAACGGTGTGATGATCACGTTCGAATATCCTTGCACGAGGGCTCTTACCCCACACGAACCAGTCGCCGAGTTTCTTTCCCTTAAAAGCAGGTGATCACAATAAATCAACTTTTTGCATCCGTTATACATATTCTTGATGATTTTACCTGGCCGATGAAACCACTGATGGTCGTGATTTTCTTGAAGTAGGGGATGTTGTATGAAGGGAAGTAGGAGTATTTCTGGAGGAACCAAGTCAGATCCTGATAAACTACGGTGCCTCTGAAAACGTCTACCATCAATGAAGTGCTAGCAACATTGTAAGATCCGATTTAATTAATATGCTGATGCTGCTGCTGGATTAAGTTGTTCTTCATAGGTCACGATAGATAAATCGATATTATTTCTTGACGGTTTTTCTTTCCTTTTAGTTGCATCACCATTAGGCTTCTGCGACTAGCGAGCGCTTGCGTGAGTGCAGCGGTTTATGACGGACCTGACCACGGCCGAGCTTTGCAGTGAGGTAGACAGATACCCCTAGCATTCGTCGAGCAGATAGAGAAGGGGACGCGCCTCTGACTGAGAAGGTAGACAGCTTCATTTGCTGGCGCGAGTCAGGAGAGGTGGGGGAACGAGAGGGCTGGATGTGGTATCGGCAGCTCCTTGCCCACCAATCCGGTGAATTGGACAAGCGACAATAGTAGGTGGAAAACGGGCTGATGCCGCGCTAAACCCCGCCCCTCAACACGCCCGAGCATCCACTGCGAACAAGACTGTACACTTTACATCACCGCAATTGTCGGGTCGCAATCAGCGGCTCGCACCTGCGGCGTTTCCATCATTGGTTGCTCCCTCCCTAAATCGATCTTTACCCGATCGCCATTGGTAGAGCAACGAGGCCGAACGCCCATTTGGACCGCGTTGCACAGCCGCCCTCCGACAGTCCGCAATGATGAGGACTATACATAGCACCCCTGAAACGGGAATACCCAACATTTGGAAGAAATTCCCATCAGGCCAAATACGATCCTCTTCCGAACTACCAGAAACGACCCTGTTGAGTATTCCTGGGTTGATCCT